GTTGACCCATTCCCTTGTAGAAGTGTTTTCCATCCTGGATTTGAGCAGCCATGAGGCTTCCAGGAAGCCATTTTGGGGCTTCAAGACAGATGAGCACTTTATTCACAAGGAAAGAAATGATCACCCACCCTATGACCCTGTTGAAACCATGTGGGTGACAGGTTGATGGCGCCTTTCAACTCAGCATTATCATGGAAATATGACTTGTCCATCTGCCATGCCCGTGGGGAAGCCTTTATGCTCTCCCACAGTGGTTCCCTCAGAAGATGAAGGCAGTTCCATATATTGGCCTGCCATTGCATTAAGTCAGTAGAATATGAGATTCTGCATTCCCTTACCCTTCTTTTTGGGCTGAGAGTGTCTGGCAAATACCAAATGTGGATGGTGTTTGAGTCAGTCACCAGAATGGATGGCTCAGTCACTTCCACATATCTCTCAGCAGCTTCAGCATTGCAGGTTTTTCCACCCCAATTTTTCCCAATGTTGACTGCAGAAAGATGAAAACTTCCATTGCACTATTATGATGGACTTACTTGGGTGACAATAGGCCTGTGAGATTACTGACAATATGTGATCCACTTCACATAACACTGGAAATGGAATTGATATATCTGGAAGGGCACAAGGTCTGCTGAATACCTCCTCTTGAAATCTGGCTTTCATGTATGACACAATGCAGTCTGTTAGTTCCATTCGCCATCTGTGGGGGGTTTTAGACATGTCTTGCATAGTATTCATGCTTGGGGTGGATGAGGTCAGAGTTGTATAGTGGGTGAGCCACTTGCAGCTTGTTGGAAAATTATGGCATGTCAGGATGCTTGCCTCAATATTTTGCCATGATCTGATCAATATGTTGTGACACTATATGTGCTATTGGTGTTGGGCCCATCTTATGTTGTGACAGAGGTGGATCTTACTAGACAGACCCATCCTTGGTTTATGGCAATATAAAAGATATTACTGAAGGGCCCATCCATACATTATGACCATATAAATAATACTGCTGAAGGGCCTGTCCTTATGTTGTGACCACATAAATGATACTGCTGAAGGGCCCTTCCATATGTTGTGACACTATAAATGATATTACTGATGGGCCTGTCTTTATGTTGTGACAGGGGTGCATCTTACTAGATGGGCCCATCTATGTGTTGTGACACTGTAAATGATATTACTGATGGGCCCATCTTTATGTTGTGGCAGGGATGCATCTTACTAGATGGGCCTGTCTATGTGTTGTGACACTGTCAATGATATTACTGATGGGCCCATCCTTATGTTGCAACAGGTGTACATCTTGCTATGGATGGGCCCATCTATATGTTGTGACAGGGGTATATTATCCCAAAGATGGGCCCTTCCATATGTTGCCAACTCTGTAATCTATCATAGATGGGCCCCTCTTTATGTTGTGACCCTATAAAGCATATGATGGGTGGGCCCATCCATATGTTGTGACCTTCTTCATGATACAATGGGCAGGCCCATCCATGTCTTACAGTAGCTTAGCATACTTACTTGGTCACAGGCCCATCTATATGTTGCAGCATCCTTACCCTCCACAGGCCCTCCCATATGTTGTGGAATTGCATTTATGGGCCTGTACATATGTTGCTCTCACTATAGGCCCTCAGGCCTGTCCATGTGTCATGGCTAATCTATTTAGATGGGCCCATCACAGGGTCTATATAAGTGTTGGCATTTTGGCATGCAGGCTACCTATATGTTGTGACTAAATGGACTACATGGGGTCCTATGTAGCTGCAAGCCAGGCTCTGCCATTGGAGCAGATGGGAAACATGCAAAACAAACAGCAATGCTATTCCAGAACAACACATCATATTTTTATCTGAGCCTCTGCTTCATATATGCATTCAGGATTATTGACTTGTACTGGTATTGCCATCATGCTGTGGGAATCATTCATAAGGTGGGATAAAAAATGCAACATCTGCATATCTCATTGTCCATCTTTAACCTCTGACTCTTCCACTTTCCAATCACCATCACCACTCTCACTGTCAAACTACTCCATCATCTCATCATCAGAAACATGTTGTTGTCATCATCTCACAAGCTCTTCAAGAAATCACCTGAGCTTGATGCTGTGGCCAACCGCATCCTTCAAATTTACTTCAAGGATATCACAGAAAGCAGCAAGCTGGGAAAGGCAGACAACATTGCGAAGTGGAGAGGTGCCATCAAGGCAATAAACAATGAACTAGTGCATCATAGGCATCATCACATTTTTTTCACTGACTGATGCATTCAGGATGCTGTACGTGACCTCATTGCTAGGATGGATGAGATTCCAATGACCCTCATCAGCATCAACACATTCTTAAAGTGGCATGAAGACCTCAGCTCAATCAAGCACCCATGGCCTGAGTGGAAGACCACCCTATCCCCTTCCAAAACTGATGTTGCCAACCACAAGTGGCTCAACATTGTTGAGCATTGATATGACTACCACCAGTTGGGCCTCCCTATGCCCCACATGGTGCCAACACCAACACCACCTGCTCAAGAGACCAAAATGCCTATGAGCAACAAAGGAAAACAGAAAGCAACTGAGGCAGAGGTGGAGCAAATGATAGCAGATAGCTCACACAGGATGGAGGTGGATGATGAGGGTGAAGATGAGGTGCCAGAGAAGGAGGATGATGAGGAAGAACCAGCACAAGGCAGGCAGAAGTGCAAAGCTGCCACAAAAATGATGTCCCATCAATCCAGACATTGATCCTGCTCTAGGAAGGCAACAGTGGAAACCAACGATGACAAAGATGTTCCTACTCAAGGCCAATCAAAACACAAGCCTTGTCCACTATTGGATGGACTATATGGTTGCACTGCCATAGCTGCCAGAAGGACACCTTCCCCCACCCCCATTCCTGCAAGTTGTGCTGCAGATGCAAGGTCCAATGCTACAAGAACCCCAGGAAGTCCTGCTTCCCATGCAATGGTTGCAAAATTTGATGTAGCCATGCCAAAGGTGGGATTGCTGCTCCAACTTGATGGAATCCATTGCAAGCCAGGGGAAAAAAGCAAGCTTGAAGTCTGTCCCCAATGATGGAGGCCCAAGAATCCCAAAGCCCGAAGGAACATCCCCCAAAGTGACATGTTTCGATGGCTTCCAAAGCCATCAATGCCAGGGTTGGGCCCTCCAACCAGGGAGAGACAATCCCTGAGGGATCTTCACTCAGTATGTTCACAATTTCATGTATTTACACTGACTCAAATTTTATTTAGAGATTGATATTCCTGCATTCAAACACAGGGATTCCCACCCAATCCCAGCTGCTGTATGAGCAGATTCAATCATTGAGGCTGGCCCATCCATTGTGCAGGAGGTAGAGGGATCTACAGCGGCAGGTACATTTAATCACTCTACATTTTTGCTAATTATTGCAGTTAACCCTTGTATTCAAAGCAGACACCTGCCCATCAACAACACAGCACCCATCCAACTTGCAACCACTGCAACTCCCAGCACACCATGACCTGTCTGTGCCCCAATTGCTGAGGTGTTGCAAATGTCCAACACAATCAAAGAGTGAATCAAAGATTTGGAATGTCAACTCCACAATGCTGATGCCCACCACCAATACTATGAGGATCAAATGTATGATTTTCAAATACAACAGGACAAAACCATGCAGATGCTGGACAGGATGGCTCATGAGCTGGAGGCTCTGCATATTTGGGTATATGCACAAGCATTGGGTGACAATCTCATCAATCTCTTAGGGCCTCTGGCAGATGAGACAAGGGCAGATAGGACAGCAGGGTGAATGAGGCCATCTATCATTTTACTCCTCCACAGTACATACAATGTCATTTTATATTTCCATTTTAATTGACCACTCATGCCACATCGTATATTCAACCTTTATTTAAGAGTGAGAAAAAGACAATAATGGCTAGGCAGCCAACAGAATTGTGAAGGATAATCTCATTCTACTAAAACAACTGCTAATGTATCCTGATAGGTGGAAGCTTAGTGAATGCATGGCTTTATGATGTAGAATAGTTAACTTGAAACTTAAAAAATGAGATAGTGGGATGGTCTCATTCTGCTAAAACCAGAGCTGATGGAACCTGATAGACAGAACCTTTGCAAATGAACAGACTGTGTGATATGCAATAGCAACCTGCCATTCAACACAAATGCAATTAATAGTCTGATTTGGCCAACACATCTGAGTCTGCTAATATGGCTGCTGATGAATCCCAATAGACAGACACCTGGTGAATGAGCAGGCTATGCTATTTACAGCATTCACTTGAGAATTACAAAACAAGATAATGGCTAATAATAGGATAATGATGCAAAGAAAGATGTCAGCCTGCAAAAACAGCATTCCGTGGATCCTGATAGATGGAACCCTTCCAAATGAGCAGCCTGCACAATATGCAAGGTTGATATGGACTGTCTTGACCTGCTAACATGGCATTCAATGGATCCTGATAGAAGGAACCCTTCAAAATGAGTGGACTGTGCAAGATGCAAGGCTGAGAGCAATTGGTCATTGGATGCAAATGCAAAGCAATATTCTCATTGTGCTAACATAGGATCCAAGGTATGCCCACAGGTGGGACATATGCAAATGAGTGGATTGTGAGATTCACAAGGTTCAATTCAGGGAAAATGTTGCATTCTGCTATTGCAGGAGCCAATGTATTTCAATAGGCAGAAGCTTGGCAAATGAGCAGATAAATATTTCTCCACAGATGGAAATACCAATTCACCCTCTGTAGTGAGCAATAAATATTCTGTTTCCCAACAATGGTTTGTTGCTGTTCATCTCAGCCCACAGACACATGAGCCTTTCAAGACAAACAATATACATACTCATGTCATACCAGACATATCCACAATGGAAATAAAACATGCAAAAGGTGAATGAATGGGCTAGCTTGCCACTGGACATCTCCTGTGAAGTACCTGCTGACCCACCCATCAGCTACAGGGCAGAATGCAAGGGCAGGGAATGGAAACTGCAGGTTCACATTAAGCTAACATTTAACTATAAATCTTTCTCCAGAACAAACTGAATATCAGTCACATTCATGGCCTGCCATTTGCATTTGGCATGCTCATAGATCATCATAGTTCCTCACATCGCAGCGGCTTGGATGTCACTCAGTCGTTGTCTCGTGCATCCATTTTTCCTAGAATAAGGTAGCTGTAAGCACAACGTGTTAAAATCCAAGCAGACCATTGAGCCATCAAGCTCAGTAGCTGTGCTTGTCATGGCCCGTCTCCATAGGACGGTTGTTCCAGCCTCACATGGCCATCGCTCTGCATCCAGCACTGTCGTCGTCATCGTTTCTCTTCTCACTGTCGCCATCGCTCGTTCGTAGTCCATCGTTGATCCTCGAATTGCGATCACAAGGACCTCTGTCATGCTTCGTCGCGTATGTCCGTTTTCCCTAGAGTAGGATAGCTGTAAGAAAAATGCCATGAAACTGAAACAAACCCTTGAGCTGTAGTGCTCAATATCTGCGCCCATCGTGCCTCGTTTCCATAGAGCAGCCGTTCTAGCTTCACGCAGTCTTTGGTCTGTGTCGAGCATCGTCATCGTCTCTCGTATCGTGGTCGCCGTTCGTCATAGACAGCCGGCTTCCCTAGAATAACGCAGACATAAGTAAAATGTTTCAAAATCAAAACGAACCTTCGAGCCGTCGAGCTCAGTACCCGCGCTCCTCGCGCCTTGTCTCAATGGAACGGCTCTCCCTATCTTGTATGGCTGTCGGTCTGCACTGAGTAAAGTCGTCGTCATCGTCTTCGCTGTCGCTTGTAGTCGTGGTAGCTTCCATATGGTACCTTGTTAGCCCCATTCTTCATATCCTTCGATCGCTGCGATCTTGCGTAGTTGGCCTGTAATACTAGATGCGTCAGTATGTAGTACTTGAGTGCGCGTGGCTGCGACGCGCAGAGCGGTCACGTGACTCCGCTTAGTCAACACCGCAGGACTTTCTGCACAAGTCCTAACACCGAGTGCGCACGTTGATACTCTCGACGAACTCTTGAATAAAATATATACTGCCGACACTGTGCGGTCGCAGAACATTTCAAGTGCGAGGCTGTCCAACCTCACCACGTGCTTCAACATTTCGACCTGTAAGACTTCTTCTGGTGGCTTCCTTTGTGTTACGAGCCTCGATGGCTCCTCGATCCTGCTTCTTCTTGCAATAACCCTCAACTCGGCGCAATTCGTGTGCTGTGGCATCCTGTGTGAGCCTACAACCTCTTCGTCTGCCAACCTTTTCGCCTCGGGACTGCCTGCGAGCATTTCGAGCTCTTCGACTTCAACCCTTGTGGGCTTCGTGTGCTCTTCGAGCCTTTCTGCTTCAAACTCGAGTGGGATCTTTGATACAAATGACTCATTAGTTAACTGATGTGTATCTTTGCTGACTGCTGGAACTCCGAGGTCGCTTCTTTCGTCACCTTGACCTCTTAGACAGGACTCCTGTAGCAACACACCAGTAGCCATCAGAGAAACTCGACTGTGAACAAAATAAAGAACCCCTTTGAGTGTTGTCATCTGCCTCGAATTCAACTGGGACCTTCATTACAAGCAGTTCTTCCACTAGCACTGGTTCAACCTGCTCGAGCTTTGGTGCTTCCTGTAACTCGGTAGTCAGTAGTTCACTCATACTCGAAGAAAACTCTTTCGTCTCGAAACAGGCTGCTGCTGCTGCTTCGACGAGCCTGCCAGGACTTCAGTGTTCATTATTTGCCTTCTCGGATGGGCTGTGTGGCTGCGCGTGACTTGTCGAAGCTACTTTGGGACTTTCTTGCATTCTATGTATCCTGATAAGTCTGTAGACCCCTGCACTCTGGTCATCAGTGAGTCATGTGTAGGCATAGTTGGAAAACACTTCGCAGGTAGTCGCTGCTCGTCCGAACTCGATTCTGGGTTGCTTTGTGGTTGAACATAACATTCTGTGCTTGTCTGAGGTTGCTCTAAGTGAAATCCTTTCTGTAGCAGTTTTGTAGCCACAACTGTTACTTGGTCTATGGGCCATGGGTCATCCGAATGTCGCCATTGATCATTGTGTCACATTTTCCAAATGATTTCATGCCAAAATTCTTTATCAAAGCCTTGTAAATAAAGGTCTTTGAGCTCATCAGCCTTGAGTTGCCACAAAACCCATAGATATGTCACTAAGTCAAGAAAATAAAGCCTGTAATTTGTTAGTTCTTCCTCTGTATGAATTTCTCTCCTTGCTCAGCTGTCAATGAGGCTGTAAAGGTCATTCCTTGAATATTGTCAATCCAGTTTCCAGGACCCAGGATACAAATGTGCAATGGTTACCACAAATTCAGGCCAACTCAGCTGATCTTCAACAAACTCATACCATGAGTCTGAGACTCTGCCACCTGCATACCAGCAAGCCCATTTCGCCCATTCTTGGTCATCAAAGCATTTCTTGCACTTGCAAAGACTTGAAACCTCTTTGAAATACCTAAAAAGGTCAGATGGACACCCTGAGAACCATGGTGCATCCCTTGAATGCCTCAGTGGCATTCCCTCGAGCTCTCTTGGCACATTCTCATGGCTTCTTCACAGAAACTTGACTATTAATTTGCCTTCAGACTTCTTTCTCGACTCAAGGGATCTTCGACTTTGTGCACTCACTCAACATATGCTGCTCGAAAAATACTTCTGAAAATTTCCTAAACTCCTGAGTGTAGACTGTAGCAAAACTAAAAATTCTGAAAGACTTAGCTAACTTGTTCTGAGTGCTTATGGTGATAAGGTGGTGATTTCTTTCTCCAAACAAACAGAACCCTCCTTGTGGTGGGCTCCAGATGTAGGAATAGGTAATAGAAGAGACCTAGAAATAGTAATTATCAGTAAAGGGTGAGTATTTGTGCTCGACCCAAAAGAGAGGTTCTCTCTGGAGAAAGAAGTGTAGTAAAAATGTAAAAAATGCTGAACTGAAATGAATACTTAGCTCTGCCTGTCTAATACCTCTTGCCAGTCCTCCTGGCCCTTTGGGTACTCCCCAAAGTAATAATTCTAACTTCAAAAACTTGCCTGAAATGCAAGACAAAATCACCCTACTACTGAGGGCCTGTGACATGAATTTGGTTTTTTGGTAAACTGAACTCGTGCTGAACACAGCACATGTGCTGAGTCAGCAATGTGGCTGCTCACCACCAAGTCCAGTGGTACAAACATGAAAACAAAACACAAGAAATAAAACAAGTCCCTCAACCCCTAACTCCTGACCAAGACAAATTCTCCTAGGGAACTCAAACTCATTCCCTACAGTGGAAAGATGAAAACTTCCATTGCACCATTATGATGGACTTATTTGAGTGACGATAGGCCTGTGAGATTACTGACAATATGCAATCCACTTCACATAACACCAGAAATGGAATCAATATATCTGGAAGGGCATGAGGTCTGCTGAATACCTCCTCTTGAAATCTGGCTATCATGTATGATGCAATGCAGTCTGTTAGTTCCATTCACCATCCATGGGGGGTTTTAGATGTGTCTTGCATAGTATTCATGCTTGGGGTGGATGAGGTCAGAGTTGTATAGTGGGTGAGCTGCTTGCAGCTTGTTGGAAAATTACAGCATGTTGGGATGCTTGCCTCAATATTTTGCTGTGATCCGATCGATATGTTGTGATGCTATACATGCTATTGGTGTTGGGCCCATCTTATGTTGTGACAGGGGTGGATCTTACTAGACAGACCCATCCTTGGTTTATGGCAATATAAAAGATATTACTGAAGGGCCCATCCATACATTATGACCATATAAATAATACTGCTGAAGGGCCTGTCCTTATGTTGTGACCACATAAATGATACTGCTGAAGGGCCCTTCCATATGTTGTGATGCTATAAATGATATTACTGATGGGCCCATCTCTATGTTGTGACAGGGGTGCATCTTACTAGACAGGACCATCTATGTGTTGTGACACTGTAAATGATATTACTGACAGGCCTGTCTTTATGTTGCAACAGGTATACATGTTGCTATTGATGGGCCCACCCATGTGTTGTGACCATGTAATTGATATTACTGATGGGCCTGTCTTATGTTGGGACAGGGGCATATCTTACTAGATGGGCCCATCCATCTGTTGTGACAATGTAATTGATAATACTGACTGGCCCATCTTTATGTTGTGACATGGGTGCATCTTACTAGACAGGCCCATCCATGTGTTGTGACCCTGTAAATGATATATATTGAAGGGCCTGTCTTTATGTTGTGACAGGTACATCTTACTATGGATGGGCCCACCCATGTGTTGTGATGGTATAAATAATATTATGGAAGGGCCCATCCATATGTTGTGATGCTATAAATTGTTATGCCTGAGCGTGGTGACTTCTTCAAATGGAATAGGCATGAAGTGCGCAAGGTGGGAGACTACAGGCCAAACTTGTCATAACCCCTATGGCTGAGTTATTACGATGTCCTGTCAGAGGTTCTGTCTGCTGGCAAGTCCCGAAGGTTGCTCACATGGAGAGAGAATGAAGGGCAAAGTAAAGGGATGAAGCTCAGTTGCAAGCTATTGAAAAACTGCAGATACAGGATGGAGTATGTAGGATTATATACTCCTAAGTGTGAGTACCATACCAGTTGTGACAGATGCATCACAACGCGTATCCACAGTAGTCAACAAGTTCATCAGTGAAATAGAAAAACAGTCATACGGTGTCAGAAACAGGGCAGGCAGAGAACTGAAGGCTATACTGGCCGCGCCATCAATGTGCAGTGAGGAGCCAGACACTGGATCTAAAGTACAACATAAGTGCAATATAAACGAGTCAGAGAGGAGTCATAAAGAGAGAAATGAACAAGTCATCTATCAGAGAGGGCGGTGGAATATTGGATCATGGCGACAACGTGGCATCGGTTGGTATTGGAAACACAATGACTGCAGGCAATCCGAACGTTCCTCAGAGCATGCGAACTCCTAGGATGGCGATGACTATTAGAGACGTGACAAGGCATGTGACACACGTGACCGTGAAGAGTCGAAAAAGGAAAGACCCCTGATGGAAGCGTAACATCACCCCCCCTCTAAGGTCCTCAGACCCTTGAGGACGGGCTGGAAGTCATGTTGGCAGGATGGGTGGATAAGGGTTGGCGAGTAGTATAGACGTGGGAATGTGTCCAAGTGGCGATGGGCGACGATGGCGATGGAGTCGGCGGTTCCTCAAGGGCCGGAGTAAAACAGGAGCCATGTCTGTTCCGGCACGACCAATGTCCCAGGTAACAACACTGGAAACATGCGTGCTGGTAAAGAGGATGGTCGGACAGAATAGGGGATTGCCCTCCAAGATAGAACCGAAGTTGATCTGCAGGGACAGGGACGAAGGGAGCCGAAGGGAGAGGATCAGTGGTGTGGACTCCATTGAAGTAGTTTTTATGGATACCAGCCCACGAAGCGTCCTGTAACAGCACCTCCCAGGCAGAGTTGTGAGTACCGGTACCAAGACAGGCACCAACCTCTTTAAACAACTCTCCCAAGTCCACGAACCCTAATTCCACAGTGCGCCACTCCTTCTCCTTCTCCTGATCCGAGATGTCCTTCTTAACCTTCAAAGCCAATGGTTCCTCTTGCTTCGGGACAATATGATCTAAGATCCTAGCAGCGGGTGGTGCCAGGAACTCCCCTAACTGCTGCTGATGTAAGTGGTGATACGCCCCACCAGTGATGGCCTTGGTGAGATCCAAGGAAGCCTTCTCCAGCATGTTGATCATGATAACCTCAGACAGCAGAGTGATCCCATTTAACTTCCAAGTACGGATCTTGGAGACAAGCCTGTTGATCATGTCTGATGCTCTGTAGATTTTAGACAGCATCCCAAAATACTCAACCTGTTCTGGTGAGCACCCATTAATGTT